CCAGCCATTAACCAGAATTTAGCTAAATGCCCCGGAATTAAACATAGGACACTACACCTGCCAGGCGGGAGTTTAATGTATATCACTAAGCTTAGTTAACTGCAGCAAGAAACCTGCTGCTGCAGCCCCCCTGTCACTAGCTGCACCACCACACCACACTTTCTCCCACAGTCCAGCCTGGGTCACTGGATAGGCATCCACTGCTGGTCAAGTACTAAACATGGGCTATTTTGGTTAACTAATGCCACCTCTTACTTAAACTCATTTGCTATGGCAGTTTTAACCCTAATTAGTAGCTCTCCTTTAGTCAGAGTCAGCTGCCCTCTGGCTGGAGTGTTTGTATGTGAGTCAGCCCTGGCGTGTTTCAGGGAGCCTACTGCACCTCAGTAAGAAACATGGGTGAGAGGGACTGATCTTAATTCTAGTCTTAAATTTACAAGTCATGCCTTGCTTTCTAAAATCCAAGTAAAGGGCATCATGAAGGTCAGACTGTGCAGGATTCAGCAATAAACCTGGTGGTGGAGCGCTTTCCCTCCTAAACCCTAACCATAGTCCTAATCTTGGTTCTAAGTCTGGCCATTATATAGATACCCTGATGCTTCCAGGTCATAAATGTGGCACAATTGAATTTGTTGATACCAACCTGTAACTGGCTTCAAAAAAAAAATCGTGCGAAACTGACTGCAGAAAGATTCCTGTTACAAACCTTGTCTCTAAGCAGTGACCCTTGTCTTAATCTTGCACTAGGAACCAATGGTTGCCTAAAAATTGGGCTTCGACCCCCTGTGATGGCTGATACTAGAAGAATTTTGTTTCCTGGTGTAAAAGGAACATTCAAGCTCTTGCAAAAGTCTTGCCTTTCTTCTTCCCTTCCTTAAAATGAAGCCAATTAAGTAATTTGCAGTGGCCTATGTGAGTGGTGCTTGCTGTTTTTCAGAGCATGGGGCTTTCCTTTAAAGGGCTTTGCCTGCTGTGTATTCAAGCACAGGAATTTAGCAGCATGAGGGAAGATGTATGTCTCATGTTTCCAAACCACAAGCTCCCATTTACCCTTCCTGCTTAACAGTGCCTGAACATCCTAGTCCACTGTGCCAAGGAAAAGTGTCATGAACACCATCAAGTTTTAAGATTGTGGGTTTTTTTTAAAATACACACCCATTTCCTTTTCCAGTAGCTGACTGCAGCGAGTGAGGTTTGTGGGAAGGTCTGTCTGCTTGGAGCATGATGTCAGCGAAGCAAACTAACTCCTGCCAGAGCTGTGGCGAGCACTGTCCGAGTCACTGGGGGGCTGTGTCTGCAGCATTACTAGAGATTTCAGTAAATCAGGGCAGCAGAAGATGCTGTGCATGGTAAACTGCTATGAATTTTACCACAAAGATGCTGATCTTGTTTTTCCAGCTGGATTGGTAGAAGTTGTGAGTAGAGCCTGATCTTCGAAGGCAGTACTGTCTGAGCTCTTCAGGTTTTTTAAACTCGCTCGCCACTGAAAACAATGCATTTGCTTTTCTTGGCAACAGTCTTGTGCAGAACTCTTATTAGTTGACTTACCAAAGAAAACAGGACATGCTGAGTCCAAGTGTTTCATTTAAGTCTTGATCCAGAGTCCTCTGAAAATGTTTCTCACCAGTTTTGCTCACAGCCCTTTGAATGCAGAAATATAATCATACATGTGAATAGACTTACTTCAGGCTCAAAAAAACCCAAAACAAAACAAAACCAAAAAAAAGAAAAAAAGCGCTTTAAAACCTTTGCTGTAGAAATTGGACTGCAATTATTCAAATAAGTTTCCACTTTCTTAAAATTAGGTAGTTTGATGTTGCCTCTCCTACCTTCAGTGTCTTAACTGAAATTTCTCATGCTTGCCCACCTTTTTTCCTCTTCCCATTTTATTGGTGCGGTTAAGTAACTAGATCTTTGCAAAAGATCTTGTAAGAGAAATTAGTTTTCAGTTTGTCCCAAGAACTGTATGACTAGCTACATATTTTAAGATCACTGCTTACATGTTTTTTTACCCCATTTGGAATAAACTTTTTGTTTACTTCTGTAATCCTTTTGGAGGCTGATACTTGGTGAATTGCCACGTCATCCTGTGGAAGTATTTTCCTTTACTTGGAATGGAAGTTCAAGATATTTGGGAAATAAAGTATTCCACAATCTCCCATGCATTCCCTGAAGTCCTGAATCCCAAGACTGACTTCATTGTCTAAGATGACCTTTGCCCATGAGAGAGCTACAGCCTTATTATTATTTCACTACCATTATCTCTATCCTTTTAAATTAATTTAAACTGAGGCAAGAGTGATGACAAAATGACATTTTAGCCAAAGGTGTAGCAGCTTGTTGGTGGTGATAGCTCAGTGGCTGAGCCAGCTTTGTTTCGGGTGCGACCATGGCAACGTTAGGGGAAGGAAATGACAGAGTCTTCTTAGTATATTTACTCAATTATTTCGCTTGCATTCCTCACCCACATCCTAAGGGCGATCGCTCAGTGTCCTTTTCCCATCAAGAGCTTTTCCTCACTGCAGTGGGAAAGATTAAAATAACACATCTGCCTCTCTCTTCTGCTTAATGTTTCTTGAGAAAAGTGATCACAGCAAGAGAGAACAACTTACTTGGTGACTAAGGTAATTTTAATGCTTATGACACTGACCAGAGACTAGCATAACTTTCAGACTCCACTATGCTCTCTGGTGACCCTGGGCCAGGCTGTATTGCCCCTTGGTAAAATGAGCAATAAAACTCTATCCATCAGACTGTGCTGTGTCTTGTCAGAGCTGGGCTCTGGGGGAGAAGGTTTTTCTTTTTTTCCCCCCCTGTATTTTTACGACACTGAGGTCAGTGGAGCCTAGGTCTCTGAGCTGTGTGAGCTCATGTAGGGAATGAGCTGACAGAGACCAGCTTTGAGGGCGGTCAACACCAAGACTACCAGGACTGTCTCCAAAAAAGCTTGTCCAGCTCCCTGAAGGCCACATACCCCATTTGCAGCGAGGCACAACTATTAACGTCACTTCTCAAGAATGTCAGTGAAAACTCTTGGTTTGAGATGCATAGATCAGCTCTTCTTAATCACGGAAGATACGGGCTTTCAAATGTGAGGATATTTTGGTTTGTTTTTTTTTTTTTTAAATGAGAAATAACCTCTGGGCATGCAGCCAGAGGAGCCGTGGAGGTGAATCAGGGTATTTGTGGGATGACAGAGACAGACAGCCACTTCTGTCTTCCCAAGGCTTCTTGAGAGTGCCTGTTCTGTCCTCATCCTTGTCCTTGCAGAGTGATGTCAATGTTTCTGTCGTGTGTATTTTATCTCCTTGGATACGGAGAAGGCATGGGCTATAGAAACTGGGTGTGTGGCTGGCTTGGCCTTTGATAAGGCTGTGCATGTGTGGGCAATGCATGAAGCAATAGGTATATAAAGTAACAACATCACATTTCAGACGAGGGAACTGTACTGGCATATCGCGACCTGCTGGTTTTGGTTAAAAGGGGTTACCGCATGGATATGGAATGTGTTGGGGACGTGGAGGGAGAGGATGTGAGAAGCCAGCCTTGTTGTTTTACCCCCCTACGATAACAAAACCCCAAACCCTTCCTAATTTCTAATCAGATTTCAAAGCATTGCAAAAGATCTTTCCATAGCTGAAAAACCCCAAACAATAACAGAGGGAGAGGTGAAAGTAAAGGCACTTCTTAATACTTGTGATCACAGCTGATGAAACATAGCATGGGGCAGAGTTTGCCATGAAGACGTCCTCTTCTGAGCTGTTGCTGCATGTTTGGCGCAAGCAGACTCCCGTCCGGCGTGCCAGCTGGGCACAAGCATGGCCTTCGCTCCTCGCGCACCTTCACAAGGGCAAGGATGGGGCTGGAGGGGTCTGGCTGCTGGTCTCT